TGGGAATACAGTCATTGGCACAAATCCTATAATTTAATGGTTGAAGAATCGTCTTCAGTGTTAGGTTTGATGTCAAAATATCAGGTTTGTGTTTCCTGGTTGTTGGTTTCCAGTACCAAAGAATGGTTACTGGTATCAAGTTAATGGAATAAATGAGCAAGCCAAACAGATGAAAGGAAGCCAAATGGTAACATTTATTATGCACAGAACATTCTGAAGAGGGGAAGGGTCTAACTCCATGAGGAAAGACAACCCTTAAAATGAAAGTAGGTTCCAAAGAAGGTCCAAGTCTAGCTCAACCAGTGGAGACCACCCTGAGATTCAATAGAATTCTCTCCTTTACACTAAGGTTTTAATTCTATGTTAAGTTGGGGCTGAATATTTATTTATCATTTTTCAGAATGGGGTGGAGAGTTCTCAGAATGGCAAGTCCTCCCCCCATTTTCAACCTTGAAAGGCAATTTCTGGGAGTTGCCACAACATTTGCAAACTGTTGTGGCATAGGTGGGTGTGATTTTTACTATGCTAAAAAGGGTAGGTCACTTGAGGAACGTCTGCCCACCTTGTTGTACACATGTCCAGACCCCTTTTGTATCTGAATAATATCTCCTCTTCATGATTTCTGCTCTTTCTCGTTAGATCAGTCCTTAAACCCCTATCATAGACCAAAGACTATTCACTCAGTCCTGTAATATCCCATGGACAAGAATCTGTTCCTACTTTTCCTCCTTACCCTACCCTAAACACCCCTAACAGCCCTTATCATATAGACAACCAAAGCACTTACTTGGTAAGAAAAAAAATAATGTTTCTTTAATTTGTAATGTTAAAATGCTGAGAAAACTTCAACACTCTTCAGAAAGTGAAGTTCAGAATCTAGAGATATTTCTTAACCAACTGGTAAACGCATTAGATAGGAGGATGATGTGAAAGTGCATTTCCTGTTGAGTATTTCTTTATTTATGCGTTGGAACCAATGATGGTATATGATTTGACAGCTGATAGACATAAATGGCAAGTGCACATATGCAAAACTTTCTGAGAATTGCTGAGTTCCTGTGACAATGTATAATATCAGGTAAGTCATAATCTGTATATAATGTAGCATACGTTTTTGTGTGTGGTATATGTTGTATTCATGTACTGTTTTTTTGTGTGGCATAGCTCTTCATTGATCTTGGTGTATAGCACGACTGGATCACTGGATCATGTAATAACTCTATGCTTAACTTTGAGGAATGCAGACTGTTTGCAGAGAGACTGCACCATCTTAGATTCCAGCCAGCACACTGCTGGTGGGGACTGCAAATTAGTGCAACCTTTATGAAAACGAATTTGAGTACTCAAAGAGCTAAAATAGAAATACCATTCGACCAGCAATAGCCATTATTAGGCCATCTACCCCAAGTAGCATAAGACATCTATTATAAAGCATCTGCACCCTAATGTTTATGGCAGCAAATTCACATTGCTAGACCTGGAAACACACCTAGTGTCCAAATCATCATGAGTGGATTAATAAAATTGGTTATATGTTCACCAATGGAATATTACTCATTCTAAGAAACGACAGTGACTAGCACTGCTTATATCACCGGATGAGCTTAGCCCATTATCCAAGTGAATGACACCAGATCAATATGGGATCCACATATACTCGCCATCAAAGTGGTACTGACTGATTGACACTATGGTGCTCAAAGGGTGGTGGTGTTCACCAGGGATTTTAGGATTGGAGGGTAGTCCCACATCTAAGGGATGTAGTAAACAATTTGCAGTGAAAGGTCATACCTCTAACCCTTGCTAGGGAGAGGCAAACAGATAAAATGTAACCTAAAGTTAAGAAAAGTAGAAAAACAAACATTTGTCGGGGTGGGGCAGGTCGGAGGGGGGAGGAGAGGATGGGTATATACATACATAGTGAGTGTGATGTACCCCGTCTTGGGGATGGACACATTTGAAACTCTGACTCTAGGTGGGAGGGGAAACAAGGGCAATGTGTGTAACCTTAACGTTTGTACCACCATAATATGCTGAAATAAAAAAAAAAGATAAGAAAAAAAAAGTACGTGAAAGGTCAGAGCACCATTATTCATAAGAGCCAAAAAATGGAAGCAGCATAAATGTTTACCAATTAATAAAGAAATAAATGAAATGTGAGAAAAGGAGAAATGGTGGTATATCCATACAAAGGAACATTATTCTGACTTGAAAAGAAATGATGCACTGATCTATGCAACAACATGGAGGGACCTTGAAAATAATGCTAGGTGAAATTAGTCACAAAAGGACAAATATTGTATGTTTCCATTTACACGAAGTGTTTAGAGTAGGTAAATCCATAGAGGAAGTAGGTAGATTAGTGATTTCCAGGGTCTGGAAAGAAGGAAGGATGAAATATGAGGTTTCTTTTGGAGGTAATAGAATTATTGTGTAATGAGATCACGGTGGTAATTTCACAACTTTGTGAATATACTTTAAAAAACTGAAATGCACAATTTAAAGTAGTAAACCTGATGGTGTGTAAATTATATTTCAATAAAAAAGGGGCTCCACCAAACAAATAGCCACCACCCCTGGTGGTCAGGGAGATATTGGGTTAAATGCCCTTGGACAACAACCTTCTCCTTGGCCACAGACATTTTTCAGGGTATGGGGTATTCCAGGGAAAACACTTTTTTTTTTTTTTTTTTTTTGCCCTTCTCTTTTTCCTCTCAAAGTTACTCATTTCTCCTAAATCCAAGCTTGATAGAGCAGTTTGGAAAAAAGAATATTGGGCATGATTTGATTGTCTCTCTGAGGCCCACAGTCAGAAGAAATTACCCTGTTTCCATCCCCACTCTGGATGCAGCCCCCAAGGTTATCTATGGGCCCAGCCTTCTCCCATGGCTCCTGGGAGACCCCAAAGAGGACAGGTTTAGGGCTTAGTATGTGATCCACCTCTGCTCCTTCAGTTTTTTTGTTGTTGTTTCTTTCTTTCTTTTTTTTTTTTTTTTTTGGCAGGGGTGAACATTTTCTCTTCTGAGTACAGAAGAAAAGGGCCTTGTCACTGAAAAAGGAGGGAAATAGACCATTTTAAAGCTGAAGGCTGTCCTATGTGGTGCAGGGAGCCAGATAAACATGTGGGTCCCTCACCCAGATTATCTGCCTGGAAGTCTCAACCATGCTGTTCACAAGCTATATGACACAGACTCTGTACAATTAAAAACAGATGTGTTTTCTCATTGGTAATATGGGGAAAACAAAGGCACCTACGTTAATGAGTTGCTGTAAGGTGCAAGTAAGCAAATACATATACCAACTCAGTGAGGGTCCACAGTCATTACCATTATTCTACATACAGAAACACCATGCATATGCAGAGAATAAGGATCCAGTAAAAATGGACATACTGACAGAATTCAAAGAAAGTTTTCCACTTCTTGGTATGTCTTACAGACATTTGATCGTGGCAGCCAGCCCAGGCTGATAAATGGTGAGGTTGATAGAGAAATGCTGTGATCCTTACAGCTCAAACAACTTATTTTTCTGTTTCATTTTTATATGAAAAATTGGAAATTTGCCATTCAAAATGGCTTCGGTTTCTTTTTCCACCTGTTCTTCTCATTGTCAGCATGTTAAGTTAGTGAGGTAAATAACCTTCTGACTGACCTTAAGCAAAGGAAAACACTGGTGTGGCTGCAAGGAGCATGGGAGGTAACCGAGAGGATCACTGCCAAGGCAGAGCATTTAGGAGAAAGCAATAGAACCCTGTTCTCCACAGTTTGATGACACATCTCCTCAGTATCTCTTCAGATGCAGAATTAGAACTATTTTCCTGGTTTTGCAGAACAGTTACTAAGGAAATTGTAAGGATGAACAAAACTTTTCAGAAATGTAAAATAATCAATGTAAGCTCTTTAACGATTTGGTATTGCAAGTGTGCCTTAAAAACAGTTACATATTCAAGAACAGAAAGAATTGTTTTTACAACTGGGGAAGTGTACAAAGGGATGGAACTGAAAGGAATTAGAGGAAGTTGAAATTTTAAACTTATTCTCATTGGTATTAGAAGGGCACCTACATGCATTTCAAATAAGCCAAAGATTGCCAAAGACTGCAGATTTGCAATTTTTTTCCATATATTAAAAAGGAAGTACACTGCTAGAACAAACAGTCACATCTGTCTTTCATCAATATTCATGTTCATAAAAGTGAGTGTTATTGTGGTTGTGAAATCTAAAGTTCTTTTACTGGAAACACCAACTGCAATGAAGAGGGAGTGGCAGAAAGAAGAAAGGTATATATATATTCAGGATCTCGCCATACAGAACACTGAGACTCAAATAGGCTTCCTGACAACCTCTGCTTCCTCCAAGAACACAGGTGAGTGCTTCCAGATCCTCCATATAACTATATGAATCATTTTTAGAATAATAACAATAACGTGTTTTATATCGTGCATCTACTTCATTCTGTCTAATTGTATTTTGCTTATTCTGCAAGGGCTAAATTAAAATGCCCATTACATCAGATTTATCCTCTCAATTATTTATTTCCAAGTGAACAAATGCACCCTTAAAAGCATGGGGGTAGTGGGAAGAGTGCCTGGCAGACACAGAACTTTGAAAGAAAAGTCAGAGGTGCCTCTTGAGAGTGGCTGGATGCCATCCACAGTAATCTTCATCTGAGTGTTTGTTATAAAGCCTTTCTGCCTCAACCTAGTACAGCCCCCAATGAAGAACGGATAAAGATGTTCTATTTCCGGTTGACAAAGTCTTTGAAAATAGTAATTTCGTAAGTCTTGTAATTTTGAAATTAATACATGACCTTGTAAAAGGCTTGAAAAGTTAAAAGAAAAAACTTTAATCGCCAGTATCCTATAACCCAGATATGTCACTTTCTGTAAGAAAATGTTATTATAAAGTGATTCTCCATTCAGTAAAGTCATTTTAAAATGAATCTGATGCTTTTCCAGGAGTTCTAGATCACACCAAGGTCACCATGAAGTCACTCAGTGAAGCAAACACCCAGTTTGCTTTAGATATGTTCCGACAGTTTGGAAAATCAAAGGAGGACAACATCTTCTATTCCCCTTTCAGCATCACATCAGCATTTGGGATGCTTCTATTAGGGTGCAAAGAAAACACTGCACTACAAATCGAGAAGGTAGGTGACAGCTGTGGTATCTTGGCCTATTTGAACGTTGCTATCCATTGCTGTGTCAGTGAGCATGTGGATGGCACCAGATCTGGTGGCCTATGAGGTGGCACAGAGCCTGATGGGTGGTGCAGGGGCTGATGGGAAGTACAAGGGCTCGGAAGAAATTCACATAATTGAGTGAGCATTGATTTAAACAGAGCTTCTGAATAAAGTTTTCTTCTCCCACTTCATATCTCTTCCAGGTCCTTCACTTCAATCAACTCACAGAAAACGCAAAACAAAGAACTACCACATATCATGTGAGTCACAAAGTACTGCAGTTCAGAAATAGCTTTAGGTATCTCAGTGGGTCATAGTCTAAACTGGGACTTTATATAAATTAAACTAAAGGCAATTTTTAGAAGTATTCTTGGACAAAAAATATTGTGGCATACACAGTGGTTTTGCATTTCATGTCACATAATTATTATTTTCACATTTTTCTTTACTGTCAGAAGGTCAGCAATGCACTTAAGAGCATGGGTCTAGAGCTACATATGCTATGTTCAAATTCCAACTCTGCTCTTCACACATAGCGAACACAGACAAGATACAACTGCTGAGTCACACTGACCTCATACCAACAAACTAGGGGTAATAAAAAATCTGACTCAATACATGCAAATACATGCAAACATTTACAACACTGCCTGGCCTCGAAAAAGCCATAATAAAAGATATTATTATAAAATAATAATTATACTAATGACAATAATGTTGCTAAAATAATTTAATTTTCATTGTCATCAGTGATATCAAGAAGAATAAGCAAAATAACAAGTATATTTTGAGAAATGATACATAGGAAATATATTGATTTAGAGCCTCAAGGTGCAAAATTCTTAGCTACAAAGTAGAAGTTTCTAGAATCACACAGCTTTAGGTTCAAACCTTGGATTTTCTAATTTATGTCTCTGTAGACAGGTTTTTTAATTCTCTGAGTTTTCTTGTTTTCATCTGAATTGGACAAAAGACTTCGAGCTACCCATGTAAAGCCCTCAGATGATTACGAGGCACACACCACTCTTACATACAGAGAATGACCATCATGAGGAAAGAGCCATAAATCACAGTCAATGTGTCCTAGAAGATGATTCCATCAATTGGTAGAACAGTGCTTCATACCATAACATATTTAAAAACTTGAAACTTACACATAATCATATCCTTGATGGCTGTTAGAAATGAAAAATAGTTCTTGCCCATGAAAGCTTAGAGTTTAGCAGGGAAGTTACACTTAACTGTTTAAACAAATGAGGGGACAATTCAGTGGTAGAATGGTATTGCATCTTTAGTTCAAAAAAGATAACATTGGATGTCTTAGAACAAGAAGAAAGAATTTACTGGAAAAGTTAAATGTAAAGTAGATTTCAAAGAGTATTTGAGGTAAAAATGCAGCAAATGTCAAGGAATTGGCACAAAAGGTCATATTTGAGACCACCCACCTTTAGGTATTGACACCACAGATTTAGCATGAGTTTAGTAAATTCATTGACAGGGTATTTCAATGAGGTCCTTTTTGATGTTTGAAGGATGAAAAGCCAGGAAATGTGCATCACCAATTTCAAGAGCTTTTGACTGAATTACACAAACGCACTGATGGGTACGAGCTGAAGATTGCCAACAAGCTTTATGGAGAAAAGACTTATCAATTCCTTGAGGTAAATTTCAACTGACCTACCATAACTTTCATCTTCCTCCTGGGTCCTAAGTGTCTGAATGGTCTAATGTGGCAAGGCAAGGAATATGAGTCTGTTCCTCTCAGGTGGGGAGCATTTACTCAGGGTGCATCAGCTCGATTACCACAACTCCATTCTGGACTCTGATAATGCACCAGGAAAGTGTGGTTTTAGGGATAATCTAATGAGGAAACAGGAGGTGTGTTAGCACAGTGAGTCATGACATGCCAGTAATATAGAGCACGTGTTGGTGGAAATTGTAAGACTCCTGAGATATTACTGGAGTGGGCAGGCTTGAGTGAATCCCTGGGGACAGCTGAGGAATACTGAATGCCTGAGGAAGACACAAAAGTGAGAGATGTCTTGGTTGGAATTACTGGAAAGAAGCCTCAGAAGCAAGTCACCTGCTTAAGAGCAAGGTGCTTTGAAGCTTGCCAACCACAGCCTCTTTGGCCCTGACGTCTGCCAGGTGACTTTGACCTGCAGTTACCTCCATCTTTTGCCAGCCTGCAGCCCTGTCACGTGGACTATATGACAGATGCACAAAAATAGGCTTGGGTAGGAGATAGTGGATGTGTTCAGGGTCTGGACTCACCTTACTATAATTATAAATAATTAAATTTGGTAACAGTAATAAATACCTACTGGTACCTTACCATTAATTCCTCTTTTGTTTTTTCCAATCTCAAAGCAATATTTAGACAATGTTAAGGAATTTTACCTGGCCAGTGCGGAATCTGTTGATTTTCAAAATGCTACAGAAGAAAGTGAAAAGAAGATTAACACCTGGGTAGAAACTCAAACAAATGGTAGGAGGACTGCCCATTATAGGAACATTTTTGATTCTCCTGTGTGAGTGAGCCCTGTGCTTGACACTGCATGGGGTTCTGAGTGTTGGTGCAGAGATGGATTTGCAGAGCGGAGGCAGGAGGACTCGGCAGAAGATGAAAAGGTCCACGATAATATGGGAGAGCCAAGGGGAAATCCCACGGGAGGGATTCACAGGAAGCCAATTATGCAGAAACACAGGTGGAGAACTCTTTGCACATGGCCCACATGACCCACATGACTGTATCTTTGGGGATCCCAAGTCTCTGCACAGGCCCATTTCAAGGTCATGTCATTTTCTTTAAGTCAGACCCAATTTTTGACTATGGATCTATAAGAGAAAACATTACAAAGGGTCCCTTCTCCCTCACTAACTGGAAAATAAGCAGCCCTCCTATAAGCCACTCTTTTTACCACCTGTTCTGGAGCTGCAAGGAGCACACCCACACCCACATAGTCTGCAGGGATTGTCACAACTGTTTTACTGATGCATAGTAGAGAGTTTACCAAAGGTTTCATTCTATGAACATCCATCCTACCTCCCAACTGTCATTACAGGACAAATTTACAGCAATTCAACATGGGAATAATGGAAAAACTCCCCAGGAAGTAGTGGCTGACAGCACAGGGTGTGTATTTCAGAGCATAGAGTTCATATTTGTCCTAAATTACAATCAAGTCCTAATCCTCTTTGAGTAAGCCCACATTTGAAAAAAATAGGAAGACAGGAAGGTAGAAATGAATTCTATATAGATATGTTGAAAGAGCACATAAAATCGGTTTATCACTATTCAGTGTAGATGACTGACGTCACCCATAGACAGAGAACCTGCACACCTTTCCCATCACGAGGAGTGGTATCTCCTACAGGGCTAACTCTATGGGGCTGCAGCCATGAGGACAGCTGAGTCTGGTGCATGGTTAGTCAGTGAGTTTCTAATGTAGTGACTTGGTGAATAATTAACTATCACTCATGAACTTTTGCAAAGCATCTTCCAGACAAACCACTTGTACCTTGCATGACAGATGCTTCTTTCCTTTCCATGCAGGAAAAATCAAAGACCTTATTCCTAACAAGACTCTTGACAACAGTACCGTACTGGTTCTTGTGAATGCAGTCTATTTCAAAGGGCAGTGGGAGAAGAAATTTAACAAAAAAAATACAAAAGAGGGAGAATTTTGGCTGAACAAGGTATTGCCTATATTTTATTCATATAATGTAATGCAGTTATACAGGAGATATTAATTATTTATTTCAGAAAATTATGATGGTACAAATATTTTGGATACAAGTAATGCCTTTGCCTTACCCAAGCCAGGGCTAGAAGTGTGCCCTTCCCCTATACAGTGTGTTCCATCTCCATTAGTTGTGAATTTACCCACCTACCCCCCCAACCTGACTGACACCCAGTGAATATTACTACCCAGTGAGTTCCTTCGTGTTGATCAGTTAGTATAAATTTGATCGTGAGTACATGTGTGATCACCATTTTTTTGTAGTTGAGTAGTATTCCATAGTATACATGTACCACGTTTTCTTAATCCACTCATGTCAAATTTAAACACATCTAATGGGATGTACCATGCAAAGTAAAACATTTCATTCTTATAACTTTATTTAGCTACAAATACCGACAGAAACTCTTTTCTCCTATTCACAAATTTCCTGCCTTATTCCTTAGAAAGAGAAAGATGTGTTGGTAACTCAATACTATTATCATTTTTGGCTTGTGTCTCACTTGGTATTTGTTTGGCACATTAATTTATTGCAGGGCACAAGCAAATCTGTACAGATGATGAATCAAAGAAAATCCTTTAATTTTGCCTTGCTGGAGGATGTGCAGGCTAAAGTTCTGGAAATACCATACAAAGGCGAAGACCTAAGCATGATTGTGCTACTGCCAAATGAAATAGATGGTCTGCAGAAGGTAAAATCTTGCATGCACAATCCTTCTATTGCCCGATTTTCAAGTACCAAGTCTAAACAAGGCTAAAGGTTTTAGACAAAGGAGCCTCAAACTAATAAAGAATTAAAACTGAGGAACAATGATTCACTTTTCTCTTAAACATCTTTTAACATAAGACATGATAAAAACAGAAGGCTTAAGCAATTATTAATTAACGACAGTTATATACAGTGGATCTCAATTTGATGGCAGTATTATGCAACAATTTACACTTGATTGAGAGAAATGTATAGCACTGTGGGAAAAATTTAAAAATCCATAAAGCAAAAAAGTAATTATAATAGTGTAGATGCTGTAGTTGCAGAATGTGGCAAGTAATGTATACAAGAAAGGAAGAGTCTATTACAATTAGACACATTTAGGAAGTTGTCGGCATAAGAAATAGTGAAATAGAGTTAAGTACAAACTGATATAATGATTCTGTTTTTACATATAAATACATATGTACATACATATATACTTATACATAAATAATCAAATGTACTTACATAATCAACACTGTTATTTTTCCTATTAGAATATCTAATAAACTGGACCTTTTGTATTTTTATTTATTGCTAAAATAAAAACTTTATACATATTCATTCTCTGTTAAGCTGTGTTAGAGGTCTGTAGTTAACCATATCAGTTTCTTTTTATCATTTTTATAGCTTGAAGATAAACTCACTGCTGAGAAATTGATAGAATGGACAAGCTCACAGAATATGAGCAAGAGAGAAGTGGATCTATACTTACCTCGGTTCAAGGTGGAAGAGAGCTACGACCTCAAGGACGTGTTGATGGCCATGGGGATGGTGGACGTTTTCTCTAAACATGATGCTGACCTCTCAGGCATGACTGGGAATCGGAATCTTGTAGTGAGTAAAGTCCTGCACAAGGCATTTGTAGAGGTCACAGAGGAGGGAGCAGAGGCTGCTGCTGCCACTGGCATTGTTAATATTAGAACAGCTACACGTTATTCAATTTACGAAGAGTTCCATTGTAATCACCCATTCCTATTCTTCATCAAGCAAAATAAGACCAACAACATCCTCTTCTTTGGAAGAGTCTCTTCCCCTTAGATGTGATTGGCCTGTAATTTTTATAAGATGTTCACAGAATTGTTCCAGTAAACTGATCGCTGGAAACAAGAGGTTGTCTTGATTCATTTTTCTTGTCATACTCATAGTCGTCACCAAGAATTTACTGGTTCAAATAGCACTTCTTTCTGTCTTTCTCTTTCTAAACACATATATAAATCTACCTTATCTCCAATAAAAATTTCCTTGGGGAAATATGTCCAACTTCAATAATACTAAAGGTTATTTCAATACAATATCTTCTAAATTTGAAATGTAATTGTTTGCAACCTACTTTTTTGATTTTTTTTTCATTTCATCATATTGTGGGGGTACAAATGTTGTTAAGGTTACATATATTGCCCTTGCTATCCCTCTCCCCTGGAGTCAGAGCTTCAAGCGTGTCCATCTTCCAGGTGGTGGGCATCACACTCATTATGTAAGTATATACACATCCCCTCCTCCCCACTCCCACTTCCTGACACCCGATAAAAGTTTGTGGGGTTTTTTTGACTTTCTGGCTACATTTTATATCTTTGCCTCTCTAGCAAGGGTTAGAGGTATGCCTTTCCCCTCCACAATGCTCACCACATTCCTAAGTTGTGAGACTGCCCCTCTACCCCCGAATCCCTGGTGAATACCACCACCTTTTGAGCACCATACTTTTAATCAGTCAGTACCAATTTGATGGCGAGTACATGTGGAGCCCATTTTCCTGATCTTGTGTCGCCTCACTTTGGATAATGGGCTTAAGCTTAATCCAGGATAGTATAAGCGATGCTAGCTCACTGTCATTTCTTAGCATTGAGTAATATTCCATTATAAGCATATACCAAATTTTAATTATCCACTCATAAATTGATGGGCACTTGGGTTGTTTCCACATTCTTGCAATAGTGAATTGTGCTGCCATAAACATTCGGGTGCAGATTGTAAGATACTGGGCTATGAGGACGATGGACACCTTCCAGCTTCTGTTTACTGCTTGTTTGCTAACCGCAAGGCATTATGAGTACATTATGGGATGCAGAGGAAAAAAGACAAAGAACATGGAAACCGAAGTCTCTCAGCTAGGACCTGGAACTGGTTAGAGCCTATCAGGGGCAGGATGAAGTAAGAATCACTGTTGGGGCGGATGCATGATCAGTGTGTAAACAACTTAGCTATAAAAGGGTCACTAGCACACAAAGGGGGGTCCCTGCTTGAAGAAGAGGCCACTGCGCTGGTACTCTGGGGGCTCAGACCCTAGCTCGAGCTAGACAATAAAACTCCTTTTGATAATTACAGCCTCGGTGACTCTGTCTCTCTGTCTTGTGGCCCAGCGAATCTCGAATATAACAAGATATCTTTGTTATAAAATGCGTTGTTGTCTTTTGGGTAGATGCCTAATAATGCTATTTGCTGGATCGAATGGTATTTCTATTTTTAGCTCTTTGAGATATCACCAAATTCTTTTCCACAGAAGTTGCACTAATTTGCAGTCCCACCAGCAGTGTAAGAGTTTTCCTGTCTCTCCACATCCTCCTCAGCATTTGTTGTTTGTGGATTTTTTGATAGAGGCCAATCTCACTGGGGTTAGGTGATATCTCATTGTGGTTTTGATTTGCATTTCTCTGATGATTAGAGATGTTGAGCGTTTTTTGTATGTTTGCTGGCCATTATTCTGTCTTCTTTTGAAAAGTTTCTGTTCATTTCCATTGCCCATTTATTGACAGAGTTGTTTGATTTTTTCTGGTTGATTTTTTAAAGTTCTAGATAGATTCTTGTTATCTGCCCTTTATCGGATGTATAGACAGCAAATATTTTCTCCCGTTCTGTAGGTTGTCTATTTGCTCTAATAATAGTTTCCTTGGCTGTGCAAAAGCTTTTTAATTTGATCAGATCTCATTTATTTATTTTTGTTGCTGTGGTGATTGTTTTGGGGATCTTCTTCAAAAATTTTTTGCCTATGTCCTTTGCCTTTGCCAATGTCTGAAAGGGTCTTCCAACATCTTCTTCTAGAATTCTTAAGGTTTCATGCCTTAGGTTTAAGTCTGTTATTCATCTTGAATTGACTTTTATGAGAGGTGAGCAGTGGGGATCCAGATTCATTGTTCTGCATGTAGCTATCCAGTTTTCCCAGCACCATTTATTGAAAAGAGATTATTTTCCCCATTCAGTCCTTTTAACCTCAAACTACGTTTTAATAATAGAAACACTAAACATCCAAGAAAAGCTTATTAGGCTTACTGGTATTTTAAACTGTACAAGAAAGCATTGTCAAATATGAAATAGCATGTAACTTTCTTTTGGTTGTATTTATATCAATGTATTATAAATACTTGTTCCAAAAGTATATAAGATTCCTAAAATTCTATTATGCCTTGGTATAATACTATCAATAATAATTATACATGCTAAATTGTTATATGCCACAGAAATAACTAAATCTCTTTGCTTCTTTAACCATGACTATTGCAAGGCTTTTATCATCCACAATAATTATTTTACTTTGATTGTCGTTAAACAACAATTTATAATCAACTACATCACTTCTCGGCCTTTCGGCTAAGATCAAGTGTAGTATAATCAACTACAATCCAAGAATTCCTTCTTTTATAAAAAGGTCATGGAAAGAACTAAAATATTTTTTATGACTTTTATTTAAAATATTACTGATTCTCTTGCTTTGTTTTCCAGAGTCATGACAACTTTCAAATAAAAACAAGTCTACCTGATATCTCCAGGATTTAAAACAATTGAATCCTGCTGGGCCCAACCTGTTAGGTGAGATTACAAGAGCCAATTATAAGGGACAGAATTAGTTTAAACCCTCCAGATCAAGGATGGGCATGCAAAAGCCTAAACAAATACTAAATGAGAGACTTTGCCTTTCTGGGCCAAGTGGATATCCATCCCAATCATAAAAATTTCCTGCTTCCCATAGACTTAGAGCTCCCTGAGCATAATCCTACTCAGTTATGGGGTTTAAGCAAAAAGGGATGAAACAAGAATTTTATGAGCCTCCTTAGGACAAATTACTAAAGAGACTAAAATATTGTGACACAAGGAAAGTCCCTAAATCCCTCAGCTTAAATGGTTAACAATGATTGCATTTGCTACAAGTATTTGGCTTCTTTTCTGTTGGCAAATGGTAGAAAAAAAAATCCTGACTTTTTGTCCGAAACTCTTCACCCTCATAAATCTAAAGTTGATTTACTTGAAATACCAATTGCAATGAAGAGGGAGTGGCAGAAAGAAGAAAGGTATATATATTCAGGATCTCACCATTTATCACACCGAGACACTCTAGGCTTTCTGACAACTTCACCTCCTCGAGGAACACTGGTGAGTGTTTCCAGCCACTCCAGCTTAACACCATGAATTATTTTTTAGAATAATAATAATAATGTGTTTTATATCTACTTCATTCTGTCTAATTGTATTTTGCTTATTCTGCAAGGGCTAAATTAAAATACCTACTTCATCAAATTTATCCTTTCAATTATTAATTGCAAGTGAACAAATGAACCCTTAGCAGCACGGGGGTGGGGAAGAGTGCCTTGCAGACACAGAACCTTGAAGGAAAAGTCAGAGGTGCCTCTTGAGAGCTGACTGCATGCCACCCACAGAAATCTTCATCTGAGTGTTTGTTATAAAGCCTTTCTGCCTAGACCTAGTACCACCCCCAATGAAGAACAGATAAAGATGTTCTATTTCCTATTGACAAAGTCTTAGAAAATAGTAATTTCATGAGTCTTGTAATTTTGACATTAGAAGGCTTGTAGAAGGCTTGTAGAAGGCTTGAAAAGTAAAAAGAAAAAAAATTTTAATTGCTAGAATCCTATAACCCAGATATGTCACTTTCTGTAAGAAAATGTTATTATGAAGTGATTCTCCATTCAGTAAAGTAATTTTAAAATGAATCCGATGCTTTTCCAGGAGTTCTAGATCACACCAAGGTCACCATGAAGTCACTCAGTGAAGCAAACACCCAGTTTGCTTTAGATATGTTCCGACAGTTTGGAAAATCAAAGGAGGACGACATCTTCTATTCCCCTTTCAGCATCACATCAGCATTTGGGATGCTTCTATTAGGGTGCAGAGAAAGCACTGCACTACAAATCGAGAAGGTAGGTGTCAGCTTTGTTATCTTGACCTGTTTGAACGTTGCTCTCCATCACTGTGTCAGTGAGCATGCGTAGGACACCAGATCTGGAGGCCTATGGAGTAGCACAGGGCCTGATGTATGTGCAGGGGCTGATGGATACCACAGGGGCTGAGCAGAAATTTCCATAACTGTGTGAGCACTAATTCAAACATAGCTTCTCAATAAAATTTTCTTCTCCCACTTTGTATCTCTTCTAGGTCCTTCACTTTAATGAAGTCACAGAAAACACAAAAGAAAGAGATACAAAGTGCCATGTGAGTCACAGAGCATTGCCCTTCAGAGAGAGCTTCAGATATATAAGTGGGTCACAGTATAAGCTGGAAATTTCACATAAACTAAGAAACTAAAGGCAATTGTTAGAAGAACTCCTGGACAAAAAAGAATATGGTGTACAGACTGGTTTGCATTTCATGTTGCACAATTGTTAGTTTGTGTTTTAGCTTTACTGTGAGCAAGTCAGCATTGTACTTAAGAGCATGGGTCTAGAACTGCATAGCCTAGGATCAAATTCTAGCTCTGCTCTTCACACATAGTGAAAGTGAGTACGCTACAACTGCTGAGCCTCACTGACCTCATCCCAGTTAAAGTAGGGATGACAAACAATCTGGTTCAATACATGCAAATACATGCAAACATTTGCAACAGTGACTGGCTTATTAAAAGCCACAATAAAAGTTATTATTATAAACTAATAATTATATTAATCACAATAATATCACTAAAATAATTTAATTTTAATTGTCATTAATGAAATCAAGAATAATAAGTAAAATTCCAAGTACATTTTGAGAAATGATATCTATGAGATATTTTGATTTAGAGCCTCAATGGTGCAAAACTCTTAGCTACAAATTACAGACTTCTAGAATCAGACAGGTTTAGGTTCAAACCTTCGATTTTCCAATTCATGTCTCTTTAGACC